GAGGTCTCCGCCATGGAGACCCTGGGGTGAAGGTTGATCTGATGCGCCGCGTATCGGACCGCAAACGACCACAGAAAATGGGGGGCACCCGCATGCATCATGGTCGTTCGGGCGACGTCCATGACCATGCCAATGCGGCGCTCAGCAATCCCATTTTGCTGTGGAGAGTCCGGAAGCGTAAAGGTCTGGCGGATGCCTCGTGCGCGACAGTACGCTCGCAGAAGGCCAGAGGAGAACTCTCCGCCTCTGTTAGAGTGCAGACGCAGAACAGGAAAGTCCGAGCCGAAGCTCCGCCTGAGCTGGAGACGAGCTGCGCGGATCCAGTCGATCAACAGCTCAGTGACATCACCCTTGCTACGCAAGGGGAAGACTGTGGTGTAACGCGAGTAGTCGTCAACCACCAGCAGGAAGTAGCGCTCGTGACCCTGTCCACGGACGCGGGCCGGGCCCCACACGTCCATGTGAAGCGTCTGCAACGGGGCCTCTGTCGGAGGAAACTGGGAGGAGTGAGGGGCAGCCCGCTGGCGCCCCTCGACACAGGGGACGCAGGTAGGGCCAGGCCCCGGAGGAAGGGGAGGGAGGGACCGGGGAAGACCAGAGACAAGGACACGGGAGGCCATGGTTCGGAGACGAAGCAGGGAGGGGTGACCAAGGCGGTGGTGCCAGAGGAGAGTCTCGTGAGACAGGAGACGACACGAGCAGGGGGCAGACTCAGGACCAGACCTGGACGCTGCAGCAAACACCTGACCCGATGCAGCTACCTGACCAGACGCAGGGACTGGAGGAGACGCAGTTGTAAGTGTGTACAAGCTCGACCCCGGCCGACGAGTAAACGTGGCCAGGTGTCGGCCTGTCCGAGCGTCCGTGCAGTGGGTCACCCGCTGAGTGAGACCAAACAGGGTGCCAGAGGGGGCTGCCGAACACGGGAGGACAGTGGAGAAGTGAGCAAGGACAGGGCCCCCAGAGGGGGCTGCCAGAGAGATTGCAACTGGCCGACCAAGCGGCGTGAGTGTGGTGCGGTCTCGAAAGAAGGAGCGGGAAGCCCCCGAGTCAAGGGTGAAGGTGTGAGAGGCCGGAGCCGACGCGGTACCTAAGAGAGCAGACTCACCTGCACCTTAGGAAGCAGACTCACTAGCACCTAGAGCAGCAGCCGCACCTGTAACTGGAGCAGGAGACACACTAGCACCCAGAGCAGCAGCCTGACCAGCAGCTAGAGCAGCAGGCTCGATACCCGGGTCAGGCGGTACGCACAGGTGACCGGCACGGTCAGCACTAGTAGGCAATGCATACATGGCAGTGAGAATAGCATCATAGTCAAGAGCAAATATATCTACCCTCTGCCTCAGCAACTCCACCCAGTCGGGGAGCTCAGCCTCGTCGCCAAACTCGGTACGCCAGGCGCCGCTCAGACGGGCGAAGCAGCGGGATTGTATGTGACTAGGCGTCCCACAAGGATGACCAGTCCAAGCACCAGTGCGAATCACGTAAGAGCAGCGAACAGAACTGAGAGATCCTCCACTCTGAGCGTACCACTCACGAAGCTGCTGGGGCGTGAGAGACGCGCGTGGGGGTCGCTGAAGCTGCATCTGGCCGCCGCCAGTAGTAGTAGCAGTAGTAGCGCCGCCACCCCTACAACCCTAACCAGCGTACCACTCACGCAGCTGCTGGGGCGTGAGGGACTCACGCGGACGTCGCTGGGGCTGCATCTGGCTCCGCCAGTAGAAGCAGGAGCAGGAGTAGCAGCAGTAAGGCAGCCAGCCAAGCCTAAGGCAGGCAGCGCGCTAGTAAGGCAGGGGCTCACCAGTGGTGGGAGGAGCAGGCTTGACGACTCGGCGACTCGGCGGTGCGGGTGGCTCGGGCGGCTCGGCGGCACGGCGGCACTGCAGCGCGGCGGCTCGGCGACTCGGCGGCTCGGGCGGCTGAGGTGGCGCTGCGGCTCGGGCGGCTCGTGTGGCTCGGGTGGCTCGGCACTAGCTCGGCGGCGCCGGCGGCTCGGTGGTGACGGCGGGGCCGCTTGGGGACGGCGGCGGGGCCGGGTGGAGCGGCGACGGGGCCAGCAGAGGTGGCGCCGGGGCCGCAGGGTAGGCGTCCGGGCCAGCAGAGGCGGCGCCGGGGCCAGCAGAGGTGGCGCCGGGGCCGGGAAGGGCAGCGCCGGGGCCGCAGGGGTAGGCGACGGGGACAGTAGAGGCGGGGCCGGGTCGGGAAGAGCGGCGTTGGGGTCGCCCGGGTAGGCGACGGGGCCAGCCGAGGTGGCGCCGGGGCCTGGAAGGGCGGAGCCGGGTCCGCAGGGGCAGGCGACGGGGCCAGCAGAGGCGGGGCCGGGTCGGGAAGGGCGGCGTCGGGGTCGCCGGGGTAGGCGACGGGGCCACCCGAGGTGGCGCCGGGGCCGGGAAGGGCGGAGCCGGGGCCGGGAAGGGCGGCGCTGAGGCCGCAGAGGTAGGTGACGAGGCCACTAGGGCGGCAGATCGAGGCCGCGAGGGCGGCGCGACGCGGCCGCTAGGGCGGCGCGACGGGGTAGCTGGGCCGCGCGCCTCGGGGCGCGCGCAAGAAAGAAAATCGCCGCGCGCCAACGGCGCGCAGCGAGATAAAAATAGGTCGCACGCCACGGGGCGTGCGACAGATCGAGTAGCAGCGGAAGCAGTAGTAGGGCCCTAGGAATAGTTCCCACGAGGGAACCTGCTCGATACCATGAGGAAACTGAAACGAGAATGAATGAACTATTAATGAAGTGGGTACAAGTACTAACCCTAATTGGGTTGTACCCCCTATGGGATACCCAACTACAGCCTACACAAAAGCATAAGCTATAATGTTCTGACATTTCTGTCTGTATGCCAGAGGCAGGAGGTGGAGTAGGAGTAGTACCGGGAGAGCCGTTAGAGGAGCTTCTCTCCTTCTGCGTTGTCATGCCTTGTGATGTTGTGGAAGTCTTGATCGTAGTTGAATTTGTCTTGATAGCTCTCATACCATGTTGGGCTGAGAAAAGCCTTAGGATCTTTGCAGAACTAAATTCTGAGTAGGACAATGTAATAGCGCAAACGTTTAATGAAGAGTTTGTGAACCACCTTGCGCTGGTATGTGAGGGCAAAATAGATTGATTAAAACAAAGAGATACAAGCTTTTATAAGAGTACAAGGGAATATGAAGGGTTATAGCTAATAACTATTTTGCTGTTGCTGTTGCGGTTCGATACAGTGACGACTCGGGCAACTGCTCAATAACGAGTCAGTTGTTTGTCCTTGCTGTCGCGCTGTATTTGTCATGTCAAAGGTCACTGACCTTTAACTTTCGCGTAACCTCCAGCAGTTGTTCAACCTCCGAGGGTTGACTCGCCAATGCTTCGCTGTGTTTTGCTTCGCTTATAACTTAGTGCTTCGACACGACAGAGGCGCTTAAGTTACTTGTTTCCAATAATGCATATACGCATACGTATAAAATTCGACAAATGTATCGAGGCAGCAATGATTGCACTATGTTGGCAAAAGAGTACCGTACAAGACGTGAGTGAAGGCATGAGCAACCATATATAAGTGAAACATGCAAACGGTAACCCGGTGCGTGCAATCTAGACAATGAGATGATGGCAGCGAGGCTCGGGCTAGCCTCGAAGCGTAGGCCGACTCGGGTCAGGCAAACGATGCATGGTTTGACAATTGTAGCGTGCGAAACACAGCTATCAGTAACGGGCGAAGCAGCTGTCAGTCCTGTACGCAATGTTGGGATGCGCAGTAAGGAATGTACAAGAAATCCTAGTTTTCCTTTTTCCACGCAACTATGTTTGACAACTCGTAACACCACCTCTTCCCTTTTCACCTTCTAACAAAAACTGTACTTTCACCTCTACCACCCAACCAATTTCAGCACCACCCATGTGTACCTCTTTGTGTGAGCTGCGCGACACCAGTGTCCAACAACCAACACAAAGGCGGTGTTCGCCAGCACATTTCTAAGCAAAAACGAGGGGAGACGACGGGATCAGGAAGGTAGGTCTCGCCTTCCTGATCCCGTCAGTTAGGGCTCGTTAACCTCCGTCAGCCTGGTCAGCCCGTAAAAATGCTGCCGAGCCTCTTATGCCGTCCGAACCTCTTAGAAAAGTGAGGGCGTGGCGAACCCCCCCAATTTTCACCCATTTCGAAATGCTTGACCGCATATGGAAACGGGGTCGCAGTTTCCTCCCCTCGCAAAAACCATCCCCCTGCGATGCCAAAGCCATTCGCCTATCCACGGTGAATGGCGATGGCATGGCTGTGGCATTGCACGGCAGAGGGGAACTGCGGAAGGTGGGGCTGGGGGTTCCATATGCGGTTGCGAGCTTTCCCGTTTTAGGAATCGAAGTTTCGCGGACCGCATACTCCCAGACCTCCTGGGCGGGTTCCGCCCCCGTTTCCAGACGCGGTCACCATGCCGATGCCGTCAAAATGCCATCTATTTTCGAATGTGCTGGCGAACACCGCCAACAAATCCACCAACCGCAACGGACTCCCAAGGACTTTCCCAACCCAGCCTCGTGTGGAGTGGGGGAGTGAAGCGGAGTGCAGTACAGTACTGTAGTTTGTCAGGTGGCTCTGATCTGATCATCGATTTTCTCTCAGCTGAGCAGGACTTAGAGCCTGCGAAGACTTGTTCTCGTACAATGGCTCTTGTTCTCAACACTTACTGATGCGGATTCCAGCGTTTTGATCGGCTCGCCTCTTCAACCTCGTTGTCTGTCGCTGCTCTCAGTTTCAACCAGTTCACCAGACGAGCATCGAAACCAAGCGTCGTCAGGGCCGTCGTCTGCCGCTGTTGTAGGAAGTTCGGAATTCTAGGACAAGCTACTGAAGGCTGAAGGAGCGACCACGAAACGGCACGTTAATTGCAGAGAACTTGTGATTCATCGAGCAATTATTCTCAAAGTCAAGGCATTCGTAACAGAATCTTAGGCCTAGCTTGAAGCTTCGAAGGATCTTCGCGGCTTCGCAGTATCATTCTTGTCCGCGACTCCTGCGCGACAGGCGAAGATGAGCGAAGTTTTCGGCGAGTACGAGAGGCGGTACTGCGAGATTTCGGGGAACGCGAAGCGTCAAGCAGCGGCTATCCCTTCCTTACCGGCAGGTTTGACTCATGACGTCGCTGCCTCCGTGACACGCTCTCTTCCCAAGCACGGTCTATCGTCGTCCTTTGGGAGACATTAAACCTATCAAAGGCAAATTAGAAGCCAAGGATTTGGTGTGCGGGAGACACCAAGGAAGCCAAGGTAGATGAGAGACGCCTCGTATGCGCTCGAATTGGATGATGCTGCGAGTGTGGGAGCTATCTTTACCACTCGCTCCAGTCATTTCTTATCAAAGAGGCTATCTCGAAGCCATCCGTTTGTAGTTTGCCGCTGAGCACTGTTCCTCTTAGCACTGTTCCGCTTAGCATCATTCCGCTTAGCAGAGTTCCGCATAGCAGAGTTCCGCTTAGCAGTGTTCCGCTTAGCAGTGTTCCGCTTATTACTGCTCCGCGGCTTCACCACGCGCATCACCGGAACATCGCAGCGAGCACAAGCTAGGGACACGCGTCTGCTGGACTTTTCGCCCAGTGTGCTCTCCACCAGTGACCGTGCTGCTGCGCTGCGAACCGTAATGCCTACTCTTCGTCCCTCAACCGCTTTTTATTTTCCGTGGGTCTCGCACCGTGCTGTATGCATGCGTGCCTCTTGCATGTCGTATGCATGTCGTCTGCTCGTCTGTGGTGCATGTATGTGCTCCCATGTGCATCTCTGTGCATGCCTGTGTACGAATTTGCATGTATGTGGGTGTATGTGCATGCTGTGCATGTGTGTGTGTCAATGGGTGTGCGCTGCAGATGCCAGGGAGCAACGAGCCAAGGACGTCAATGCCTTGTTGGAAGAGGCCGACTCTCTCGTAAGCCCCGTTCCTCCCATCACCTCCTCCTCTTCGCCTCTTCCCATCGGCTACTCGTGTCTTGACCTCCTCGTTTGTATCTAAAGAAAACACCTGTACGCGGCGCTGCCCGCGGCTTGCCAGTGGCGCAGAAGAGAAGGCGGCGCTGCTGGTGAAGAAGCTGCGTGAATCTAAGGCGCCACTCCACTCCCTCCCATTTCATCCGTACATCAATCGTTACTCATCTTCCCACCCCTCCCCCCCCCCCCCCCCCCCCCCATTTCCCCTCCTTCTCCCCCTCCCTCCTTTTCCTCCCCTCTCCTCAGATCCGGCGCATGGACTTGGAGGCGCGCAGCCTGGCAGCGGCGCAGAAGGCGGCGCTGCTGGTGAAGCTGCGCGAGTACAAGGCGGACCTGCAGACACTGCGCCGCGACCTGCAGAGAGCACTGCAGGACGCCGCTGCCTCTGCCAGCGAGGCCGCCAGGGACCAGCTGCTGGGGAACGCAGGGGGACAGCCGGGGGAGGGCATGTCGCAGGAGGAGCTGGCGGTAGGTGGAGTGCGGTTTGAGTGGGTGTTGCTGGGTGGGTGGGGGACTGGTTGCTGGTTTGGTTTGAGCTGATGTGGGTGGGGGAGTGAAGGTTGCGCAGAATGGTGGATGGTGGTGAGACATGGACTGGTTGTATGGCAGATGGATGGAACGGGAGGACTTGTAATTTGATTTTTCAGTGGGTGTCAGCTTGTTGCTATTTTCGATGCTCTCTTGGCCTCTATCTATCCACCTCCCCACCCACCTTTCCCTCTCCATGCATCCCATCTTCCCATGGTACATACCCTCACCTGGGCAACCCATAGCTCCGTCTCACCTCCTGGTGCCAACCCCATCAACCTCCTGTCCTCTGCACTGTGTCTCCCACACATCCCCTTATTCACATCAACCGTCACTTCACACTCTGTGCGGTGCAGGCAACGGGGGCACAGCGCATGCGGCTGCTGGGGGCAACGGAGCAGCTGGGGGAGTCGTCGCAGCGGCTGGAGGCGAGCAAGAGAGCGCTGCTGGAGACGGAGGAGCTGGGAGTGAGCATTCTGGAGGACCTGCACAACCAGCGCCAGACACTGCTCAACGCACGCGATAACGTGAGCTGAGGGGGGTTCTGGTCGCGTAGTAAGGTGCTGGACCAATGATTAGCTGAAAGATTGGGTGTTTCGGTTCTACTACTTTGTGTGTTCCTATCTGGATTGCCAACCTCTAGGTTTTTGTGGTACTGTTGGTGTGGCTCAAACTTGTTGCTCACCCCTACTTGTCCTGTGTTTTGCAAAATTCCCGCTTGCAGCTGTACGGTGTGGATGCAAGCATTGACCGTGGCCGTCAGATCCTCAACTCCATGGCACGCCGCATGAACCGCAACAAGTGGATTTCCATCTTTATCCTCATCGTACTCATCCTCGCTATTATCATCGTGATCTTCGTCAAGATGCACCGACACTGATCAGAACATGACAATTTGTGATTATTATGGAACGGCAACATCGGGTTCGGGACGAGGTGTAAGCCGATCACCATATGTGCATATGTGCTTGCTTATCTGGTTGGCCTTTTGTGGTGTTTACGATCGTTTCCTCGAGCGTTATTTGTTTTGCACTGAAGTGGAGCGTTCTAACCTGATTGGAGGCTCAGCGCTCAATTAGCCACTAAAATGCATATTACTGCACTATAAGTAACTGCAATCTGTTAGAGGATGTTCTTTATCGGAACAAGGGTATCCGTTGGCCTCGTTGCTGTGCTTTGGGGGGCAAACAGACCAGCTGGTTGTCGGGCCGCTTGGTCTGGTCAGGGGGCTTGCTTCTCCACTGACAGGTGAGCAGCTGGCCTCAATTGTTCGCTGAACCAATGAGGAAATTCGCGAGTCGGCTTTGCAGCTGCTGGCATTTCAGGAAGCTGGCTCGGGTCGCAGTCGCAGTGTCATAAACTGCGACTCGGACTGACATTTCACCTGCTTGCATTTCGATTCGACTCTGAGCAAGGGCGCACAGGGAGAACAAGCAAATCAGCAGAAAAGCTCGAACCAGTTTCTCTTGCGCCACGCTCGCTCACTTCCTAACTAACCCTGGCTGGAACAAAACCATGCTGGGGAAACATTATGGTGTGAGACCTCCCTCTAGCAAAGCTGGGAGTTCATGTTCGTATAGTCGCTGTTCCTTGACCATACACCCCTGGCGCATTCGTTCTGTGCGACCAGCAGTAGCAGCTCACATGGCTTCGGCACACCCCAGTGCCTGCGCTACTGCCTTGCATTCTGCTGAAACTGTTTCTCGTGATCGATTCTGTGCCCCCTATCCTTACAGTCTCGCACTCGCGCGTTCCAACTGACCTTCACAAGGGCTTCTGCCTTCCCCTGGCCTCCAGTACTGAGACCTTCAGTAGGCTCTTGAGTTATCTCTTCAGTAAGCTCTTCAATAAGCCCATTCCAAGTCGAATTGACCTTAGAGAATGCAGCGCGTCCTAGTAGCCTAGGCGTCCAGTCTTTTCCACTCATAGATTGGCTAGCTACCTCGGCAATTTATCCCTCATCGTGCATGCAACGGGACTCGATTATCTGTGACTAATTAGACCCATATGCGGCTTAGCTCGTGCATCAAGCGCGATTCGAGCCATGGATGGAATGTAAAGCTCAATCCCTCTCTTTTATGAACTCATCATCATTGCTAGTGGGATCTCACTCTCACAACCATGACCCAGCCGTCGCCGTCACAGCGCATCGAACGCTCGTCGTCGGTGCGCTTCGTGAAGCACGCGCCAAGTGGAACTGCCGCTGCGCCTTTGAGGATCGCCAGCTCAGCGATTTCTCGACAAGCTCTATCAATTCCACCCATAACGGATCAATCTATACCGATTCGAACACCACTGAAGCAAAAGCTATCGAAATTCATTCGCCCGCAGCTAGTACACTTAGCGGTCATTTGCCTCCTCCTCCTCCTGACCCTGCCTTCCGCCACCCGATGCACGGAACTGCGCGCCAATTCAAACCCCTTCTTCCCCCGCCGCTCGTCCCTTGTGTGGGCCGCGCGTGCGCGGGGAGTAGAAGGAGGAGTGGGCGGAGACGAGGCGGATGATCTGGCGGAAGCAGATGGCGCGGGGCGTAAGGGGATTGCGAAGCGGAGAGGAAGCGACGGAGGACGAGGAGGAGACGGAGACGAAAATGGAGACGGAGACGGAAACGGAAACAGTAACGGTAACGGTAACGGAAACGGAACTCCAGCGTCAACGGAAGCAGGCGACACCCAGCTTGATCATCACGGACGCCATCGGTCTCTATCCGCTTTGCAGCACCAACGCCATCGTCGCCACGACGCTAGTACCAACGCGGACTTTCTGCTACAGGCGGGCACGCTCAGTACCCTGCACGCGATCCGGACTCTGCCAGTGGCATCAGTGTCGACAGCGTCGTTACCATTCGCCGCTCCAACGGTAACACGCGCCGACGACGCCGCTACTGCGGTTGTACGCGACGCCGTTACTGTGGGGCAAGACTTGCACTCTTTTGCGGAAGCTAATTCAGCGAGTTTTTCCTCCTCCTCCGCATCCGCATCCGCCTCCGCCTTCCCCTTTGCTTCAACTGCTGGGGATTCCCTCTACCCAATCACCCCACCCGCGCCTATACCGCTCACGGATATTCTCGTCAACGCCACGCCCGCTTCCCCCTCCGTTCCCCCTCCCGCTCCTCCCGCCCCGCAATCGGATTCTGTACCGCCCGCTGCGGTGGGTTCCGCGCCCGCCTCCCCCCCGCCCCCTTTCACGTTTCCCGGTTGGCCGTTCCTCACGCCGCCTCCGCCTCCCGCCTCCGACAACGCCCTGTCCCCGCCCTCGCGCAGCCCCCCCGCGCCTCCGCTAACCACTTCCCCGCCCGCCAGTCCTCCGCCGGCTTCCCCCTCTGTTTCTCCCCCGGCTTTTTTCCCCAGTCCCGCGGGGAAGCCAGCTACCCCGCCTTCAGTTGCTCCTGCTGCGCCGTCTCTTCCGCCTGAAGTCACTCCCCCTTCGCTTGCACCCCCTTCGCTTGCACCCCCTTCGCTTGCACCCCCTTCGTTCGCGCCCCCTTCTCTTGCTTCTTCTTCCCCTCCCACATCCATCCCCCTTCCACTATCGCCGCCATTCTCCGCCTCCCCCGATTCTCCCCCTCCCGCTCCCCCCCAGGCTTTCCCCCCATCCCACTCTTTCCCACCTGCTTCATCGTCATCCTTCCACATAGGCGACCTTTCCACGTCAGCATCTGCCGTCGTCGTGTCAGCAAGTGCTGTCGCCGCCGCAGCCGCGCTAATTTTCACCATTTTCATCCTATGCGGGCGCTACTCTCTCAAAACCCCCCGCGACGGCGCGCATTTCCCCGCATGGGGGCGGCGCAAAACTCCTCCAGGCGCAGCAGATGGCGCAGCAGGCGGAAACACCGCCAACGCTGGCAGCAGTGGCGGAGGCGACGGTGGCGAAGGTGGTAACACGGTGACGACTTCTCACCCACCCCGCGCGCGGGGATGGTGGTCGCTGTGCATCGTGTGCAGGACTCCCCAGACCACCCCCACTAACGACTCCCTTCCGCCGAGCCCCCGCGCGTGCGCGGAAGGATGTGCGCGGAGTGAAGGCGGGGCGTGGGTGGCAAACTGCGCTGGTTCCGCGTATGCTTCCCCCCACCGCGTGGATATCCCGGTTTCCCCCACCCATGTGTACCCCGCGCGGTCACTGTGGTCTGAGTTTAACGACGCAGCAAACGGGGAGAATGGCGGTATTGGAAAGACTAATAACGGGGATAACAGCGGCAAGGGGAAAATATGTGCAGGGGGAAGTAGTACCTGGGGTGCCGCTAAATGGGATTTCGCGTCGCTCCCATTCGTTGCTGCGAGCAGCACGAAGACGAGGGTTGCTGTAGCGCGTACGAGTGATGTAAGAAACGTCGAGATGGAGAGCGGCGAGGAGGTGCTGGGGAATGCGATGGGGAGAGGGGAGGAGAAAGCGGAGGGCGCGCGGAAGGGGGCGGGGGAGGGTGCGCAGTGGCCCCGTGACTTGGCGATTCTCAGCTGGCTGCTCGGGGGAAAAGCCGCCGCCGCCGCTGCGAAGGGCGCGGAGGGGAAAAAGGCGGGGTGTGCGGGCGACAAAGCGGGCAAGCCGGACGAGGAAGCTGCGGTGTGCTGCATCGCACGTAACGGCGATGGGTTGAGCGATGATGGCGAGTGTGAGAGGGTTGGGGGAGATGGCGGAGACGGTGAGTACGAGAGGGGTGGGGGAGAGGGCGGAGACGGTGAGCACGAGAGGGGAATTGAGGAGGGGAGGCAGAGCGGAGATGTGGCGGTGAGAATGGACGGACAGGAGAGCTTGTGCTGCAACGGTGGTAACCATAGTGGTAACCACGGTGGTGGTAGCGACGGCTGTGGTAAGCGAGGATGCGGTGCTGGTGGTCGTGTTGGCGGTGCTGGGGGCGGGATCACGAGTGTGCGGTCGAGCAATGGGCGCAGCTACTCGCGGCGCACGCTGTCCGCATTGCCACTCATCTCCATGCCCGTCTGCCACCTGCCGTCCCCCCCCACCACTCCCCGCTCCGCCGCTGCTGCCACCGCCGCCGCTGCTGCTGCTGATGCTGCTGATGCTGCTGCTGATGCTGCTGCTGGTGCTGGTGGCGGTTGTGGTGCTGGTGCTGCTCCTTCGGCTGCTAGTCGCGCTGCTGCCGCTGCTTGTCCTGTCCCTGGTGGTGCTTCGGATGCTGCTGCTGCTGGTCCTCTATCGTGGATGCTGCCGTTGATGCTGCTGTGGGGGAAAGGGGAGGAAGGAGGGGAGGAGGGCGGCGTGAGAAGGCATGGGGAAGCGGAGGTGAAGGCGCTGGGGGAGAGGATTGAAGGAGAGAGGGAGTACGTTGCTGTTGCTATTGAATCAGAAGAGGAGGAGGATGAATCAGAGGACGAGGAATCAGAGGGAGAATCTTCAGATGAGGAGACAGAGGAAGAGGAGGAAGCAGAAGAGGAGGGGGAGGAGGCGAAAGAGGAGGAGGTGCAAGGAGACGAGGGGGTGGGTGGGAGAAGAGCAAGCAGCAGCGTGCTTCAGGGCAGCAGTGTAATCAGTGGTCCAAGTGCTTCTAGCAACGCGTTTGCTGGCACGTTCACAAGGGATGGCAGCATCAGTGGGGATACCAGTAGCACCAGTGTTGCATACCACTCGGGTGCTTGTAGCCGTGCTGCTGCTGCTGCTGGTGGTGGTGGTTCTAGTGCTGCCGCTGCCAGTGCTGCCAGTGGTGCTGTGAGTATGGTTAGGCAGTGGAAGGAGGAGCTAGGGAGAGGCGAGAGTGTGAGGGGGCAGAGGGAGCGGAGGGGAGGAGAGGAGGGAGGAGGAGGGGAGCTGGTGCGTGTAATGAGTCTGGCGGAAGTGCTGGCAGCAACTGATGGGTTTGCGGAGGAGAGGGTGGTGTGTGAAGGGGAGTTCAGTGCGGTGTACAGGGGTGTGTGTCCAGTGACCGGGCAGCTGTGGGCTGTGAAACGGGCGAGGGTTGGAGGGCTGGGCCGGACAGGAGGGCCAACAGGGATGGGAGGAGGAGCGGAGGGAGGAGGAGGGGAGGGAGGAGGGGAGGGAGCAGAAGGGATGGCAGGAGCAGGGAGGGAAGCAGAGGAGGAGGCGAGGAGAGTGAGTGTGGAGAGCGTGCGGTTAGAGGAGGAGGTGAGGCGCGTGGCGTGGCTTCGTCATAAGCACATGGTGCAGCTGGTGGGGTGCTGCGAGGAGCAGGGCGAGAGAATCCTCGTTTTTGAGTTCCTCGCTGGAAGCACACTGGCCTCGGTGCTGCATACGACTACAAGCCCTGGCCAGAACAGCAACAGCTGCACCGGCAACATCAGAAGCAGCCACCCTCCCTCGCCCTGTTCATCCTCCCCTTGTGCCTCTGCAGCTGCCGATTCTCACGGGTTATCGCTGCAGCAGCGGTTGGACATAGCAGTGGGTGTGGCCCAGGCGTTGCAGTACCTGCACACTGCTGCCAGCAAGCCGCTGGCGCATGGCAGGGTGTCCTCTCACCATGTCATGCTCTGTGCTGCTGCTACTCCTGCTGCCGCTTTAACTGCTGACGCTGCTCCTCCTGCTGCTGCTGCTGCTGCTGCTGCTACTGCTGATGGTGATGATGGTGATTCTGGTAGTGGTGGTGGTGGTGAGTGCAGGGGAGCGGCCAAGATCCTGCCTGCTAGGCTGCTGGACTCGCTGCTGCTGCCACAGGAGATAAGGCAGAAGCAGCAGATGCAGTACGAGAGCCGAGGAGCGCAAGGGCAGCTAGCAGCAGCAGCAGCAGCAGCAGCAACAGGTGGTGCTTGGGGTTCGCCAATGAGTGGCAGCGGCGGCAGTGGTGGGTTCGGCAGTGGGTGGGGTGGAGGCATTCCTCGGGATGCGAGCCGCATGTCGTCATGTACCAGTGGCAGCACGTGCTGCTGCAGCGGCGACTGGGAGAGGAGTGGCGGCTGCTGTGGTGGGGAGTGTACTGGGGTGGTAGGAGGAGGAGGAGGGGGAGGAGGGGGAGGGAGTGGTGTGATGAGGGCCGTGGGGGATGATGGACGGACGTGGGCGGAGGAGGGAGGAGACGGGGCAGTGGGAGGGGACGGGAGGGCAGGGGAGTGGGTAAGGCGAGGGAAGATAGGGGGAGAAGGCGCAGTGAGGAGCGGTGGGGCTGGGTTGCACTGGAGGGACGTGTACGACCTAGGAGTGATGCTGCTGGAACTGGTTTCAGGGCGGCCGCCGGTGGTAACTCGAGCCAACGACCTTGCACTAGCTGCTGCGGCTGCTTCTCCTGCTGCTTCTGCTGCTGCTGCTGCTGGTAGCACTGGTGGTTGTAGCGGTGGTGGTGCGTCTGCTGCAGCAGCTGGTGAGGCTGCACCAGCGGCTTCTGTCCCTGCGTTCTCCGCTCTCCCCATTCGCCTGTGGGCGCTGCTGCTGCTGCAGGCACGGGAACCGCGGCTGCTGACAGACCCGCGCCTGAGGGTGTGGGGCGATGAGGGCTCAGGGGTGCAGCAGGGGAATTCGCCTACGGAGCTCACACAGGAAGTGGCGAAAGAGGTGCTAGCTGTAGAGGCGAATGTGAGTGTGCGCCCTGTGGGCGGGCAGCAGCTGTTGAGGGAGTTGCTGGGGCGCCTAGCGAGGCTGGATGGCAGTGTGGCGTACCCTGGTGCAGCGGGGGAAGGAGCAGCAGAGGAGAGCGTAGTGGGGAACGGGGAGCAGGGCAGCAGCCGTTTCGATGAGAAGGTGGCTGTGTGTAGAACTGTGGCGCGGGTGGCAGCAGCGGAGGCGGCAGCAGTGGCCGCGGTGGTGCGCGTTGCAATGCGGTGCACGGCGGACAAGGAGCGGGCACGGCCGTGCATGAGCAAGGTGCTGGGGCGGCTGACGGCTATACGGAAGCAGCTGCTGGAAGGGGTTGCTAGTGCTGCTGCTGGTGCTGATGGGGTTGCTCGTGGTGGTGATGTTGGTGGGAGTGGTGGTGCGGTTGGTGGTGGAAGTAGTGACTGTGGTAAGGGGAGTGGTATTGGGAGGAATGGAAGGGATGGTGGTGGTGGTGGTGGTGGTGGTGGTGGTGCCGGTGGTGGTGGTAGTGGTGGTGGAGGTGGGGGGGTTGAAGGGGAGGAGGTGGGGGGTGGGGAGCATGCGTGTGGTGGGAGTGCGTCGAGGTGGTATGAGAGGCGGAGTCTGAGGGAGAGCATGCAGCGGGGGCTCAGGAAGGCGTTCAGAGAGAAGGAGAAAGATAGGAGGCGAGGGGGAGGGTGGGGGGGAGGGGGAGAGGGAGGTGGAGAGGGTGGTGCGGGCATGGAGGTGGAGGGAAAGAGAGTGAGGAAGGTGAGACGGGCGGAGGCAGAGAAGAGGCGGGCAGCGAGAGGTCCGGGAGGCAGTGGGCGGAAATGGCTGGCAGGTGTGCAGACGGAACTGCAGAGGGAGGTGAGACGAGAGATGGAGCGGGAGATGCAGAAGAAGCAGGGGTCTGGGGGCGGTGGTGGTATTGGTGGTGGTGGTGGTGCATTCAGCAGCAGCCCGTGGAATTGGAGGACTGTGAAGATGCGCCTGGCTGGTGTCCCTGTGGTAATGTCCTCCTCTCCAAGTGCATTCGCTGGGATGACCTCCCCTGGTGGTGGTGGTGGTGGTGGTGGTGCTTCAAGTGGTGGGGGTGCTGCTGCTGCTGCGGCGGCTCCTTCTGTGCTGGATTGGAGTCCTGGTTTGAGGCGGCTAAGGACCGCACCTTCCTGGAAGGGACGGGTAATGGAAAGCATTAGGGGCCGCGCACGGGCGGAGAGTGGGGGCGAGAGAGAGGGGGAGGAGGGCGAGAGTAGGGAGAAAGGAGAGGCAGGGGTAGCTGGGGACGATGGGGGTGTTGAAATGAGGCAGCACACACTGGAGCGTAGAGTGACGTGGCATGCAATGGAAGGGGGAGTAGAGCAGAGGGGTGTGCATTTGGGTGTGCATTCGGGTGTGGGTTCAGCAGCAGAGCAGCAAATGCATAGGTTTGGAACTGAGCACCTGTCCAGTCCTGGATGGCAAAGGAGGGAGGAAGAGGAGGAGGAAGAGGAGGAGGAGGAGGAGGAGGAGGAGGAGGAGGAGGAGGAGGAGGAGGAGGAGGAGGAGGAGGAGGAGGAGGAGGAGGAGGAGGAGGAGGAGGAACAGGAGGAGGAACAGGAGGAGGAAGAGGAGGAGGAAGAGGAGGGAGAAGAGGAAGAAGAGGAGGAAGAAGAGGAGGAAGAGGAGGCTGGGGAGGAAAGTGGGCTAGTCTCAGGATTCAGCCGGGATATGAGTATGGCTACACGCTCTGCCACACTCACAGTGGACCATCTGTTCTCTGGACAGGCTTATAACGAGTACGAGGATGCGGACACGGATGACGATGCGATTGGCCCCCACCTGTGGCTGTCTCGCGATAGCTCTGCGTGCAGCAAGGAAGAGCAGCAGGGCAGGGGGGAAAGGGAGGGCAGGGAGTGGAGGGAGGAGAGGGAAGGGAGGGAACGGAGGGACAGTAGTGGTGGGGGGCAGAGCAGGATGATGAGGGGAAACAGAGAGGTGGGTGGGTTGGGGAATGGGAGGGTGGGAATGGAAGGTGTGAGTTTGATGCATGGGGAAGCAGGGTGTGCGTGTGGTGATGAGGAGATGGGTGGTGCGCAGGGGGGGTATCAGGGAACAGGGGTGCGAGGAGGGGGGCCAGGTGCAGAGGCAGGAGCATCAGGTGCAGGTGCCGGTACTGGGGGTGGGGCCGGGGGTGGGGGTGGGGGTGACCTGTGGTCGTGGATGATTGGGGGTAGGGGTTGAGGGGGGTATGGGTGGGTGCTGGGGGTTGAGGTGGAGTGAAGTGAGGGGTGAAAGGGGTGAGGTGCGGTGGAGGAGAGGATGGGGTGGGGGGGGGGGAAAGGGAAGTGAATGGGAGTGGGGTGGGCTGATTGGGGTGGGTGGGGGGTGTGGGGGGATGTGGGGACCAAGTAACCAAGGATAGAAGCAGGTTGGTTCTGCATTGGGGAAAGGGAGCAAGGGAGTCCAGGGAGTGGCCTGGCCTACTGACTGTGTTGGGGAGAAGAAAGTGTCGACCACAACCATATTTGAAGAAAGTGTTGACTGAGTCAGTGCTGGGGCAAGTACGGTAGGAGGCTATGCATGCACTACCGGTAATTCTGTGCACAGGGACAAGGAGGTTTCTTTCTTAGCCGTTCACATGTCACATTCGTAACATACCATATCATATTGTATCGTATCATTTAATATCATAGCATGGTGCCTATTTTGTGAAGCTGTAACCAAGTAGTGCACTCAAACACGATGCGGATGCAGTATATTTGATTGTTCCACGCGGAAATGGCTGGTCTGTGCAATCAGGAATAAGGAAACAGGATTAAGCACCGGATGTGAACTACACAGGATTATTACCGAAAGTGTTACTGGTGCGTTTCATAGAGAGATACCAGGGAGGGGAAAATCGGTTCCTCGCATCTGTCATTCATGGTATGGCATGGCATGACATGACACGATGCCTGACTGACTACCCCCACCCACACACAGGTGACCCAGATCCATAAAGCCGGTCAGATCAGAATCGCTGCTCCCAGAAGGTACATGCTGCATACAACCTCACCTCCCATAAAGCTGGTCAGGTCATAAATATATGATCTCCCACCCTCAGTCTCTTCTCTTGGCATCGCACAGAACTGCTTCCCCCAGGTGATTCTGTTTCATACCCGAAATGCCCACACCCCACCCACACCCCATGGAACCACACGGTCACACCCCATATCCACACACCCACAACCCTTGCTCCACCCACACATCATGCATCCGTCCACCTCCTCCCACCTGCCCACATCTCCCTTGTCCTTCCCCACGGCCCCCCTCCCCTGAATCCTTCCCTCTCCTGATGTGACTCAGCTCAGCACCAACCCAAACCTTCTGATGCCGCTCTTGCCTCAGCCTCCCTTCCCTTACCATCGTCCACCCACCCATCTCCTTCATCTCCCCTCCTCACCGCCCTCCCCCTGTCCCCCATCCCTGCCCTCACACGTCCAGAGCCTGCGCCACACTGACAGCCTGTCTGAACCGCCCATCCACCACAGCCAGCACTCTCTCGTCCACGCGGCTGTGCCGCTCCATCTCCTCCTTCACCTCCCCATGCACCGCGCCCACAAAGTGCCCCACATCCTCCCACACCCGCCCTATCGCCTCCTCCAGCTCTCCCCGCGCCTGGTCCTCTAGAAGGAAGCCCAGCGAGAGCTCTAAAACGGGGATGGAGAGGTGCGGCTCGTCGAAGCGGCCGAACGAGATGAGGTTGGGGGGGAGGGAGGAGGATGAGAGGGGTTGGCCGGTCGTGGTAGCAGCAGTGGTGGAATCAAAAGCAGAATCAGCAGCACCACCCTCGGCAGCATCAGCAGTCTCGGCAGTATCAGCATCAGCGGAACCAGCACCCGCACCGTCACCAGCACCAGCAGCATCATCAGCACCAGCAGCAGCAGCAGCAGCAGCAGCAGAGTCAGCAGCAAGGAACATACTGCGAGCATTCACCTCTTCAGCCACCTCCTCCATGCCCACATGCAGCACGGACGCAAGGCCCCTCGACAGCCTATCATCCAGATGCGGGTCGCTGTCCTTCTCCGGGTTCTTTCCCATGAGCGCGTTGGTGAGGATGATAAGAAACTCGCTGTATGTGAGCCCGGTGGGCACGTTGCCTGCGCCGTAGCTGTCTCGCATCCACTGGGGTGCGCCCGTGGTGGGGTCGATGTGGTATTTCTCGTAGTCTGCTGCAAAGTAGAGCGATGCGTGGTGCGGGAGGAGGAAGTAGGTGAGCGAGCGGGAGGGGGAGGGTGAGGGCGAGAGGGGAGCGGAGGAGGCGGAGGAGGAGGCAGAGGAGGCAGAGGAGGAGGGAGTGGAGGAGGGGAGGAGGTGGGAGGGGACGTGGTCGGAGAGGAGTAAGGGCGTGGTGTGTGTGGTGCAGAGGCGGATCCAGTGCTTGAGATCTTCTAGAGCGGACTGCATGCCGCCCAGCGATGGCAGGGACACGGCCTGGAACTCTGTGGTCTGCGCGAAGGTGCTGCAGAGCAGCGATGTGGCCTGCTGCCAGGGGCGCTTCTGTAGGAGTGGGAAGGGGGGGGGGGGAGGGGGGAGGAAGGAAGAGTGTGTTTTTGAAGAGGCTAAAACAAAGACTTGGCGAAGGTGCTGCAGAGGAGCGATGTGGCCTGCTGCCAGGGGCGCTTCTGTAGGAGTGGGAAGGGGGGGGGGGGGGGGAGGGGGGAGGAAGGAAGAGTGTGTTTTTGAAGAGGCTAAAACAAAGACTTGGCGAAGGTGCTGCAGAGGAGCGATGTGGCCTGCTGCCAGGCGCGCTTCTGTATGGGTGGGGTGAAGGGGGGGGGAGAAGGGGAATTGGGGGAGGGAGGAGGAAGGAAGTAGGAGAGAAGGGTTTTGAGTCGACTCAAAAGTCGTTTAGCTGCAGAAGGGGGGAAGGGGAGGAGGGAGGAGAGAAGAGTAGAGGTTGATTTGTGAGCAGATTCCTGGTTTCTAAGCGAGTTAAAACGAAGGCGGATAGAGGGAGGGAGGGCGGGAAGGAGGGAGGGCGGGAAGGAGGGAGGGCAAGGGGGAGTGAGGGAGGGAGGGACGGAGAAAGGGAGGGAGGGAGGGAGGGAGGGAGGGAGGGAGGGAGGGAGGGAGGGAGGGAGGGAGGGAGGGTGGGAGGGAGGGAGGAAGGGAGAACGTGAGGGAGGGAGAAATCGGTCAACATTGATAAGCAGCAACAGCAGCAGTGGCAGTGGCAGTGGCAGTGGCAGTGGCAGTGGCAGTGGCAGTGGCAGTGGCAGTGGCAGCAGCTGAAGCGAGACACCTTGAAGCAACAAGTAGCGATCAACATAATTTCAGACAAACCGCAGCAGCACCTTGAGCCGGCCTGGCACAAGCAGCGATCTTGCTGTGCTCTGGCCCACTTGCACGATGCCACGTGGCACGGGGAGCCCCCGGGCGTCTGCCAGGTCAGCACCGGATGGCAGCAGGGAGGAGCGTGCGAGAGCTACGAAGTCGTGAGGGGTGCCGGATACTAGCGATGGGGTAGAGGAGTCCTGCGGAGCAGGGGGGTGGGAAGGGTACGGGGAGGGTGAAGGGGAGGGGGAAGGGGAAGGGGAGGGGGAAGGGGAAGGGGAGGGGGAAGGGGAAGGGGAGGGGGAAGGGGATGGACAGGGGGAGGGAGAGGGAGACGGAGATGAGGAGCGAGAGTTACAGGAACGGAGAGATGTTATGTATGGTGTGAGATGGAATGGAAATGATCTGGAAGGGGTTTGATACACAGCAAGTGCATCCAACCAGAACCCCTGAGGCTTCACACACACACACACACGCGCGCATGATGGTTGAGGTGAATACTGGGAAAACTGGGAAAACTGGAAAAACTGGGAAAACTGGGAAAACTGGAAAAACTGGGAAAACTGGGAAAACTGGGAAAACTGGGAAAGCTGGGAAAACTGGGAAAACTGGGAATACTGGGAATACTGAGTAGCCAGAGAGCAAAGGAGAAAGAAGAAGCACATGACGATGTGATCATGCCATGCCATACCCATCCATCATCCATGTAAAGACGAAGCGGAATTGCGTGTTCTTTCCATACACATGGCGTGTTCTTGTCACTTCATATACATACCATACCATACCATAGCCCGAAGGACTTTTGAATTGGGATGACTCCAAAGTCAGCTTCTCCCATACATACCCCGAAAGCGGTGAGTGCGGACTGGAAACAGCGGGGCGGTGGCGGCAGGCCGAGGTTGATCACAGAGTAGTGTGCGTACAGGCCTCCCCCTGACACTGCCATGGCGAGCCATCGCATGAACTCCTGCATGCAGTGAAAGGAGTGAGCGTGGGGCGAGGGGTGTGGGGCGAGGGGTGTGGGGCGAGGGGTGTGGGGTGAGGGGTGTGGGGTGAGGGCCGGCGGCAGAACGAAGGTTGATGACAGAGTAGTGTGCGTACAGCCCGCCCCCCAACACTGCCATGGCGAGCCATCGCATGAACTCCTGCATGGATGGGCATGGCATGGGTGAGTGTGGGGGCGGGACGCCAGTGGGTGGGGTGTGCGGAGGGTAGGGTAGGGTGAACGGCGTGGGGTGAGGACTATGAGGGTAGGGTAAGGGTGAGGGTGAGGACTAGGGAGGACTAGTCGGACTAGGACGACTGGACTCTGGCTCGACTGTCATACGTCGTGCCAGCCAGCAACCATTTCGTCCTTCCTTCCCGGACTGGACAGCCTCATTTCACACACCCAAGTCCCATCCCATCCCATGTGCCGACTCTCTCTCTCACTCACTCACCCAGTTGCCCGCCTTGGCGCGCTGCTGCAGGTTGGGGAAGAGCGGGTGCCGCCCCGCATGCTTCTTCTGCAGCACCTGGGGTGCCCACCCCGCCCGCTGCCAGCTCAGCTGCCATGACGTCACCAGCCTGCGAGGGGCAGGCGACGGGTTGAGTTGCAGAGTGGGGGGAGAGGGTTGGTTGGGGGGGGGGAAGGGGAGGGGGGGAATGGTTTAGGAGGGTCAGTCAGTGAGCTGGTGTAGGAGGGTCAGTGAGCTGGTGTAGGAGGGTCAGTGAGCTGGTGTAGGAGGGTCAGTGAGCTGGTGTAGGAGGGTCAGTGAGCTGGTGTAGGAGGGTCAGTGAGCTGGTGTAGGAGGGTCAGTGAGCTGGTGTAGGAGGGTCAGTGAGCTGGTGTAGGAGGGTCAGTGAGCTGGTGTAGGAGGGTCAGTGAGCTGGTGTAGGAGGGTCAGTGAGCTGGTGTAGGAGGGTCAGTGAGCTGGTGTAGGAGGGTCAGTGAGCTGGTGTGGCAAAAGGCATTTGCAAGGGTTAGTGGGTGGAAGTCGATCGGTGAGATTGTAGAAGCGAGACTGTGTGAGCGAGGGACCATTCATTAACCCTTTTCTTCCCTTCCCCCACCCCCATCCCCTCACATGCTTTTCTCTCCTTCACTCGCTCTCTCCGCCCCTCCCTTTTCCCTCGCACACACCCCCTCACAGACCCGCTCCCTCACATCCCCTCCCATATCCTCCATTCCTCACAACCCCTCCCTCACAAATCCCTCCCCCACACCCCCTCCCCCACACCCCCTCCCACACAACCCCCCCCCCCCCTCCCCCCTCACACCCTCTCTGTCCCCTCACCCCAGCACCCCCCACGCTCACGCACTTCTCTTCGTCCTCCAGCTTCCCCTGCACGCTGTTCAGGTCAAAGAACGTGTACACCGCACACCGCCCCCCCGCGCTCCCCGCGCCCTCATCCGCCGCGCGCAGCACCCCCTCCTCCTCTCCCCACGCCGCTGCTACCGCCGACACTCTGCTGCCTGCAGGGATAAGCACGCGACGCATGCGGGGAGGGGCGGAGGCCATAAGGGGGGGAGAGAAGGTGGACGGGGAAAAGGGTGGTGGGAAGGGGGAAGGCGGGCGGAAAAAGGGGTCGGAGGAAGGGGACGGGAAATAGATTGAGGTTTGTTCGAGGGTGAAAATATATTATATATCATGAGATTTGGACGAGTGAGATGTACTAAGAGTGACCGCTGGGGCAGCAGCAGCAGCAGCAGCGGCCAGCAACGGCCGCAGCGGCAGCAGTGATTGGTACCTGAAGAGTCGGAGGCGGGCGGGGAGAGGAGGCCCGCGAGCAGCGCGGAGAGCATCCAGCCCAGGAGCACCACGGCGGCCGCCGCCACCGCCGCGAACGACAGCCGGTTGCGCTTCGCCGCGTCTATCAGCGACGACAGGCGCGACCGCGGCTCCAAGTCGTCGTGCCGCTCCACCTGCATGGGGCGGCGCGCGCGACTCGACGACGCGGGGAGCGCGGAGGAAGAGGACGAGGAGGATGCGCCTCCGCCACGCCCGCCGCCCGCGCTTCCAGCCGAGTCCCCGTCGCTGCGCAGCAGACTGCTGCCGTCCTCCATCGCGTCTGCCGCCTCGTCTGCCGGCTCGTCTGCCGGCTCGTGCGCGGATGGTCTGCCGCCGGCAAAGCTGCTTTCCTCTGAGGGATTGTCGGGGGGCGACGGGACGAGGCGGGAGGCCTCCGCCTCGCGGTCACTCGAGGGCATGCCGAGAGGGGAGCGGCCCAGCTACGCAAGTCTAAATAATTTTGAGGCGCCTAAAGAAACCGAGCGTGGCGCTGTTGAGCGAGCCTCACCCTCGGGTCGTCGGTGTCATGCAGGCCGGAAGACGCGCGGAACGGAAGCAGCAAGTTTCGTATCAAAATTTGTGAAGCACCTGTGCTTGTGTCTTGGATTTCGCGGTAGGGCGATGATGACACCACGTGTGAGAAGCTAGGTCAACGGGGCACAGACTGGGCACGGGATTCGGGAAGGTGCATGAATGCCGGCCAGGGGCGGAATTCGTTGAGCTCTGGGAGGGGTGGTTAGTTGAGAAGGAAATTGTACTCCCTAGTACGGTATGCTCCCCAGCCTTCCGAAACAGGGGCTGTTACATGTAGTGGTTGATATACATAAGAAATCAATCATTAGTGAAGATTTAAACATTCATCCATATTGATCGTGCTGTAATAAATACGCCAAAGAGAAAACATTTTTTTTTTCCAGATCATGTTCCAGGAATTCTGAGAAGTTAAAAAGGTTAAGCTCTTTTGGATTTGGATGTACCGTGTTTATTACCATCACGAACTACTAAGCACATGTTATTGCATAGCGTCCGAGGATCCAGGTGCGACGACGGGAAAAAGAATCACGCCACCTACACTCCATATTTTTTCCCTAGTGCTACTTTATTTATACAGCCTAAGTCTACACTCCATGCAAATTCTGTATCACGATTTATGTTTAACTGCCCATTCAAGTGGCCGCCAAAAACCAGGTTTGTGCGGCCGTTAGTTCTGGAAGATTTGAAAGCTCGTGCTCGTCGTTGACGTAGGAAGTTCATTTCTCGACACAAAGATTCATACTTTGGCCCCTACAGCTGGACATTAACAAAGTACCAGACGAACGTCGGTATATTTCAGCAGTCGTCCGAGACTTTCCGACGAGCCGAAGTAGGAAACCTGTGGCTGTTGCCTTTCTCAAACGGGTCCTCATACGCGGCTCGAAAATTCTCCCCCAACAGCTAGCGGCAGAGAGGCGTGCATTGCCGGGGAAGTGGTTTACCAGCTCTCGCGACGCGAGAGGTGGCGTCACGGAGCGCACTTTTCTCAACATTGGAAGTTGGAATCCGAGAAATCACACCAGAATGTTGTGGATTGCAGTTGCTCTGCCCTGCCGCCCCCCCCCCAAACCACACCTCGCTTGTCAAGGACCAAATCGAGCCGCATGAAAATTGTGCTGCACAGCCCATTTCAGCCCCTGTCCTGGTCAACCTTGGAGTCGACCCAACTCCTTCCCCTCTCCTTTCCGTAAGCGACTTTCCGATACGCATCTTCTCTCGAAAAGCTGTGGCTTTATCCGTTGGTGGACACAGAAGAGATAGTCCTAGGTTCATGAAAGGCGCGCTAGTTAACAGAAGAAGCCATTAAAACAATCACCTCGCATGCGCTTACCTCAGACTGATTCGTGACGACTGCCAGCCTCTCAAATAAAATTCTAAGTCCGCACGCATTCCGTCCATTATAAAATCGCGCCCGTTAGCCACTGTCTAGTCGAAGGCTATACGCTGCCCGCTACCGACCGACTTGATTCAATATTGTTCAAGAACAGCCGACCCTGAACACCCGCCCTCTCGACCAGTCACTGACTCCGCCACGCGAGCACAGAAGCGGAATCTAAGGAGGAAGGGGTGGGGAGTGGGGTCCATCTAGTCGAGTTACCGCCCCCAATCCTCCCCTGTCGTGTGATCTAAGCGGGATCTAAGAAGTGGGGAGCTAAGGGGTCAAATTAATCGCGTGGACTAAGCGGGATTTAAGGGGGAAGAGGAGCTAGATGCTATGGCCGTGGACGCGGACACGGCACACACGTCCACGCCGCAGCGGCCTTCTGTCATCTCCCGCCTCGCGCGTCTGCGGGAACTGAAGGAGAAGGTGCAAGTCGTCGCCGCTGCCGCTTCCGCTGCCAAGCCTTCTGCGACTGCGACTGCGACTGCGACTGCGACTGGGAACGCGGCTGTCGCTGCGGCCCATGGGGCGCCTCACTCAAAGTCTGAAATAGATCACTCCAGCACTCACGGACCCACGTCGACAGCACCCACCGCCGCTTCCACTATCTCTCCGCTGGTCACGCAAGGACATGCTCCTTCCGTCTCTGCGGTATCAGGAGGGACCGCAGCATCGTTACTAGTAGCTCCGGTGAGCGCCGCCGCGGCGGCAGCGTCGGGCGAAAGCGCCGGCGCTTGCCCGCGGCATGCGAGACGCGGAGATGACTCCGCCAGTGGCGTCTCCGCGGTGCCGAGGGCGGCCGCAGGGGCGCTAGCTCCGACTGCTGCGCCGGACGAGGACGCGGATGCGCGCGCCTGCGGTAACGGTGGGCTGAGTGCCGGCGGCAGCAGCTGCCACTACGGCGGAAGGAAGTTGGCGGACGATGCTGATCGTAAGAATACTAAGAGTCTCGCGACGGGTTTCTTCCCTGATCAACCGTCGAGCTCCGCAGCAACACCTGCAGGCACCGCGAACCCCACGGCGCGCGGCTTGCTGTGTCGACCAGATGCCGCTCCGGCGTCCCCTTCCCTTCCATCTCTCCCTCCTTCCGGCACTACGCCATCCTCCGTCGCTGCGTTTTCCTCCCGCCCCGCATCTGGCTCCCCTCCACCACGCCACCCGATAACCCCCCTTCCCTTCATGCCCTCTCTGCCCTCGCTTCCTCCCCCTCCGCTTCCGCGTCTGCTGGCGGGAACAGCCCCGCATGAGGCAGCTTCAACCGCGCGCCTTCCGCCCGCTCCCGGGTGCTTCCCGGCGCCAGTGACACTTGACACGCCTCAAAAGTCGCTCTCTCCCGTCCGCTTCCCCGCGCCGCTGGGCGGACAGCAGCAGGTCGCGGGCGGTGGTAGCGCGATGCCCGCCGGCGTGCGCACGGTGAGGTGGGTGAACCCCATGTTCGGCGCGGGGGAGGAGGGCAGCGCGGAGAGCGAGCAGGATGCGGTTGCTGAAGAGGCGGGGATAGAGGCGGGGGCAGGGGCAGGGGCAGGGGCAGGGGCAGGGGCAGGGGCAGGGGCAGGGGCAGGGGCAGGGGCAGGGGCAGGGGCAGGGGCAGGAGCAGGGGAAGGGGCAGGGGCAGGGAGGGATGAGGTGATAGAAGATAAGGGGGGTGGAGGGGCGAATGAGAGGGAGGATAGTGAGATGCAGGATGGGCGGCAGTTTGGGGGGGAGGATGGTGGGAAGGGTGAGGGTCAGTCCGCGACATGGTATGAGGGGGAAGGGGAAGGGGAAGGGGAGAAGGGGGAGGAGGAGGCGGCGGAGGAGGAGGAGGAGGGAGAGGAGGAGGGAGAGGAGGAGGGAGAGGGGGAGGAGGGAGATGGGGAGAAGGGTTCGTGGCTAGGTGAGAGGTGTGATGCGAGGAGGGGATTGGTGAGGTGCCATGACACAAAACCCACCACCACCACCACCAGTAGCACCACCGTCACCACCACCAACAGCACCTCAGGCAATTCGATCAGAGCACACCACGATAGCAGCTCATCTGCACCGCCGCCCGCAGTCATTGACGCACCATTCGCCTTCCCCGTCCTCCTCGCATGCCCCGAATCCCCCGATGATATCCCCCTCTTGCCTTCCGCCGCCCCCAGCCCCTCCACCTCCTCCCCCACTAGCCCCGTCCCTTCCGCGGACCCTATACCACCCGCTGTTTCCTTCATTCCCCACGAAGATCCCCTCGTTTCCGCCTTCCCCTCAAGCCTCGGCTTCCCCATAAACTCCGCGTTCCCCTTAGCCCCCATCTCCGCTCTGTCCGCGGCTTTCTCTCCGCGCGCCTCCCCGCCGCCTCCACGCCCACTTTCTGCCACTGGGCAGGAGAGCGACGACGAAGGGGGGTGCGTGAGCGGACTTATCGCAGCCGCAGCAGCAGTAGCAGCTGAAGGGGATGACGGCGGCAGTGGCGCTGGCGACGGTGGCGGTGGCGGCGGCGGCGGCGGCGGTGGTGGTGGTGGTGGTGCTGGCGCTACTACCGCTGGTGCTACGACTGTTGCCCCTGTGGATGGCAGTGGTAACGACGGTGTTGCTGTGGGGGATGAAACCACGGGTGACACAAGCGACGCAAGAAATGACTCAGGCGACGCAGGGGAAGGCGGAGGGGAAGGCGGAGGGGAAGGCGGAGAGGGAGGCGGAGTGGGTGGCGGAACGGAGGCCGAAGAGGAAGGCGGAGGATGCAGCGAAGGGGAAAGCGGAGGTGGAGGCGAGGGGAAGGCGGAGGGATTGGCGGGGGAGCTCTTGCGGTTAGGGGCGAGCGCGGAATGGGGGCTTGCGGGGTGGTTCAGGGGCGCGGGGAGCGTGTGGGATTCCGGAGATGGCGGGGGGAGGGGGAGGGGAAGCGCGGGGCAGGAGTGGGATGGTGGGAGTCAGGGAGTTGCGAGTGTGACGTCATCGTTAGAGGTGAGAGAGGAACGGTGCTGCGATCATGCTAAGGCTTGCACTGCACACCCCAGCGCACACACGCACACGCACGCAGGCACAGACTGCATGCCTTGATTACCCCTTCTTCCCTTGCTTCTCCTTTACATCTGTTTCTTTGTTTTTTCCCCGTCTTCCCCCTCTCATTTTCCTCCCACTTCCCTCCCCTTTCCCTCCCATTTCCCTCCCCTTTACTTTACCTTTCTTTCTTCTTTCACTCCCCATTCCCTCCCCTTTCCCTCCCCCTCCTCCCACCGCTATCCCGCCTCCCCCCTCCTTTCCGACCTTCCCTTCCCCCCTTTTTACCCTCCTCCATGCAGGGACCGTTCGCCTTCCCCCTATCGCTGGCCCGCGACCCCTCGTCCTCCCCTCGCCTGTTCGGGTGGGCGTGGGGGGGCAGCGGCGCAAGGGGCGCGTGCGCGGACGGCGGAGACGCGGGAAGTGAATTGCTTGCAGAGGAGGCGGACGTACTAGCGGGGGAGAGGCAGGGGGAGGAGGAGGGGGAGCGAGAGGCGGAGGGGGAGGGCGAGGGGATGGGGGAAGGGGAGGGATTGGAGGAGGAAGGGGACGGGGAAAGGGAGGAGGAAGGTGTGGAAGAGGGAGATGACAGGAGGCTCTGGGGTGAGAGCCGGCTAGACGCGGGTGGGGGGAAGGGTGGTGCGGAGGGCGGAGAGGACATTGGGGAAGGGGAGAAACCAGTGCGGCGGGAGGAAAAGGGTGAAGCAGAGGTGCAAGCGATTGAGGAGGAGTGCACATGGGGGGAGGTGAGGGCGAAGGCGGAGGGGGATGAGACGGGGGAGACGGGGATGAGCGAGAGAGGCAGCAGAGGCGAGGGCGGAGAAATAGGAGCAAGGGGAGACGATGGGGTGATGTCAGTGGTACTGGTGAGTAGTGCGGAGGAGAGCAGAGAAGCAGGTGGTGAGAGTTTGACGGGTGGGAAGGGAGGGGAACGGGAGGTGCGTGGTGGGTTGGGGCAAAGGCAGATGATTGGTAATGGAGAGGATAGTGGAGAAAGGAGAGGAGAGGGAGGAGATGGAGATGGAGAGGGAGGTGGAGAGGGAGGTGGAGAGGGAGGTGGAGAGGGAGGAGCAGAGAGAGGAGGAGAGGGTGGAGCGGCGGTGGCAGCAGCAGGAGGGGAAGAGGAGACGAAAAGGGACGAGTCAGGAAGGGGCACGGACGGCATGTGGTCGGGGCTGGGCAGTGGAATGGTGGCTGCAGCTGCGGCGTTCGGCGGGTGGAATGGCCTCACACGCCTGGCCAAGATGCGCGCACGCAGGGGGGCGGCAGACCGAGACCGAGACAGAGACAGAGACCGAGACAGAGACAGAGAAGCCGTGTCGGAGGCTGGGCACATGGGTGCAGGCATGGGCTTGGGCGTGGGCATGGGGATGGGGATCGGTACGGGGATGGGCATGGGCATGGGTATGGGTGCAGGTGAAGCAGGGGAGGATGCGTTTTCGCAGAGCAATGCGGATGAGGAGGAGGATGCGATGGGGTCATCGTCTCACGTGCTCATTGAACCAGGGCTGGACCTTGCCAGGCTGGACATGGTCGCTCTTGACGTGGCATCCTCTGCTGCTGACGTGGAAGAGGAAGAGGACGATGGCGCTGTTGCTAGTGCCAGCGCTGGTGCTGCTACTGCTGCTGCTGCTGCCGGTGGCGGTGACGGGGACATGCTGCTGGGGGGAGTGAGAGGGGTAGGAGGAGTCTGGGAAACAAGGGGGAGACACGTGGTTTTAGACGGAGACGAGACAACTGGAAAGGTATGCTTGTTTAGGGAGGAGGAGGAGGAGTGGGAGGATGAAGCGAGTGAGGGGGGTGGAGGAGAATATGGTGGAGGTGATGGGTTCGACTTTGGGGGCAGTGGAAGAGAGGTGGGGATAGGGGAGGGAGAAGCTGCGGATGAGGAGGAAATGGGTGTGGCATTCGGTGATAGCCGTGATGGGGGGAGGTCTTATGATGAGGAGGAGGAGGAGAGGGAGGCGGAGGGGGAGGAGGAAGGGGGCCAGGGGAGAGGAGATGCGGTGGATTTGGAGGTTCCGGAAGGGGAAAGCGAAGTGGAAGAGGAGAGAGGAGGAGACGAGCGAGGAGGAGACGAGAGGGAAGGGAACGAGGAGGGAAAGGGAGACAGTAGGGAGCGGGGAGAGGAGGGTAGGGAGGTGCGGAAGGGAAGGAAGGGGGAAAAGGATGGGGAGGAGGGAATGACGCAAAGGGAAGAGGAAACGGAGGATGGGGAGCAGGAAGAGAAGGAGGCGGAGGAAGAAACGAAGGAAGAAGGACAGAATGAGATTCGGGACGGGCATGAGGCTGCAAGCCAAACGCAGTTGACAGCAGCAGCGGCGGCACGAGATGGCATGGGGGCACGAGACAGAGAGTACGGCACAGCAGGGAGGCAGGGGGGTGATAATTGGGCTCGAGGCCTCTGCTCCGTTGCTGTTCAACACCCACTCACTGCTGCTCACCTCTCCCCACAGCGTTCACTGCCTTCAGAAGCACGGCCTGAACCTGGTCGCAGTGAGGGGTGCGTGGGTGGCAGGAAGAGGAGGCGGGAGGAGTGTGCGGTGGGAGTGAGGGAGGTTGCAGCACGGCAGCAGGAGGCGCAGGAGGGTGGAGGGGAGGAGGGTGAGAGGCTGGAGGGGTGGGAGGCGGGAGGGATAGAGGGGAAAGCTGTGGAGGAATGGAAGGAGGTGGATCGAGAGGAGGACGAGGATGAGGAGGAAGAGGGGCAGCAGGAAGAGGAGGAGGGGGAAGAGGAGGAGGAAGGGGAGGAAGATGGGGAAGGGTTGCTGGCGATGATGAGAGGGAGTGGAGCGAGTGGTAGAGAAGTGGCAGAGGGCAAAATGACCATTAGATTAGAGGGAGGAATGGAGCTGTTGGGCTCATTGCATTCCACCGACGCTCATGCTGATGCTGATACTGATACTGATGCTGGTGCTGATGCTGATGTTGATGGGGGAAAGGACGATGGGTGGAGGCATAACTATGGTGGTGGTGGCTGGAGCGGCGAGGGCACGAGCAGCACAGAGTCGGACCGGGCGAGTGGGGAAGGAGAGGAGGGGGTGGAGATCACAGACTCACGTTCCGGGTCGACTGAAACGGTTGAGAGTATAGAGTACGATGGTCGCAGAAGCAATTGCACTGCTCGTTCGTTGCACCGTCTCGCTGTCCCTGAGGCTTCTCCTGTGGTGAGCCTCCGTGATGCGGACTGGGGGGATGGGCGTGAGTGTGTGCATGGTGATGCAGTAGCTGCCCTCGAGGGGGCAGTGGTGCCACGGACTCTGCTGCCGGTGCTGCTGCTGCCGCCATCACCGGCACCACCACTGGCACCACCGGCAACACAGGTTCCTGAAGGCGCAACACGATTGGTCGAGCCAGGGCTGACAGCAGAAGTAGCAACGGCATGGATAAAGGCCGCAGCACCTGTTACTGCGGATGATGCAACTGAGTGCATTACTGAGGTGAGCCCATGGAGGAGTTGAAATGAGCCCATGGAGGAGTTAAAATGAGCCCATAGAGGAGTTGAAACGAGCCCATGGAGGAGTTCAAATGAGCCCATGGAGGAGTTGAAACGAGCCCATGGAGGAGTTGAAACGAGCCCATGGAGGAGTTGAAACGAGCCCATGGAGGAGTTGAAACGAGCCCATGGAGGAGTTGAAATGGCCTTATGCAGCACGGCTAAGGCGCCTCCACGCCTCTCTTGCCCTCAGTGACAACGTTCCCCAAACAACTCCTTACGAGTCGACTCAAAAGTCACTTCTTGCCCACAGTGACAATGTTCCCCAAACAACTCCTAGGCAAATGCCTAATTGCTCGTTCCTTTCTTTTGTTCACTCTTCTAAGCGCCACCCAACCCCTGCTCGCCTTTTCTTCATAGTTCCCCTTCCGCCCGTTGCGCTCGCCACTCCTCTCGCCTCCACGCTCCCATCCCCATATCCCCGTTATTAGCTGGGCGAGTCCCTGGAGAGTGCAAGCATGCAGCAGGAGGCGTGGGAGATGAAGGCCAGACGTGCAGAGGTGGAGGTGGGGGCGCTCAGGCGACAGGTGAGCTGAAGTGGACACCAGTTAGGCGCCATTGAGATAATACGTGGCAGCAACTTTGGTTCAACACCTGGTGAATGTCAGTAGTACTTAGTAAAAAAAATATTGTGTAAAAATCACGGTGGTAACCGGTTCGAGACGTGCAGAGGCGGAGGTGGGGGCGCTCAGGCGACAGGTGAGCGCCAGCACTACCCTAACCCAACCCTCTTCTCCCGCGCTCCCTCTCTCCGCATCTCTCCGTCCCATCTTCCTTCCACTCCTCCCACCGCCCCCCTTCCCCTCCTCCCCATCCACCGCCCACCGCTTTCCCCCTTTCGTTTCTGTTATTATTTTACCCATCGAAATGGCCCGCTAGCTGTTGCAGTCAGCCACACGGCAGGAGCATTCAAGCAATGTGATTTTTGAGTTAACCACAAAGTCTTCCTTCCCCTCCTCCCCCTTTCCTCACCCTCTCTTCCCCCTTCTCCACTATAAAATGAACCACCAGCTATCGCAGTCAACCACAGTCAGGGAGCATGTGAGCGCAGGTCTGAAGCAGCAGGTGCAGGTGGAGCGGCAGAGGAGAGGGCGGGAGAGAGGGGCGCAGGTGGAGGAGAGGCAGCAGTGGGTGCAGGCCGTGATGCGCCTCAGAGCTGCTGTTAACCCGCGCCTGGCGCATACAGGAGGAGTGGGGCGAGGAGCGTGGGGAGGAGTAGAGGGGCGAGGGGGGGAGGGAGGAGGGCTGGGGAGAGGAAGAGCTGCAGTGCTGACGGGGTTTGGGAGGGGTGGTGGGGGGTTGTTACCTGGGGTTGGTATGGGAGAGACCGGGAGGGGTGCAGGAGAAGGGGGTTTGTATGGAGGTGAGGGATGGGAGGGGGGAGAGGGAAGTGGAGTTGGCTCTCACAGCAGCAGCACGAGTCTGGTTGCATTCAAAAGCAGCAGCAGCAGCAGCGCCCTTGCCACAAGTGCAGGCGGTTACAGTGCTGCGAGTGGAGGTTACTGGGCTGGTTCAGACCGTGAGGAGAACGGAGAGGTAGGGGAAGGGGAGGAGGCGGCAGCAGGGAGTGACACGCTGCGGGTGATTCAGGCAGTTCTGGAGCTCATGCAGGTGGGAACTTCCAGGAAGGTGCTGCTTGGGGAGGTGGGAGAGGAGGCAGGTGGTAAAATGGAGGGATGTAAAGGGTTGGCTCTGGGTGCAAGTGAGGGCTCGCAGAGGGATTGTGAAGAGGGGGGAGGTGGTGCTGGGGATGAGTTGAAGCCGGTGGAGTGCGGTTTTGAACGAGAGGTAGAGGGGAGGGAGGAGGAGGTGGGTGTGGGAGGAGGAGGAGAATGGGATGGCGATGTGGAGGTGATGAGAGATGGTGAGGGGAGAGGCGGATTGAGATGCCAGGATGACGATGTGGAAGCAGAGGTAGATGCGGTGGGGCAGGATGAGGATGAGGAGGACGAAGAGGAAGAGGAGGATGACTACGAATATGAGGAGCATGAGGAGGAGAGAGAGAGTGAGGAAGAGGAGCAAGGGGAGAACGTGTCAAAGGAAGAGGTAGACGGGGAAGAGGAGTGTGAAAATGAAGATGAAGTGGAATATGCAGGGAGGGAGGAGGAGGAGGAGGAGAAGGAGGAGGAGGAGGAGGAGGAGGAGGAGGAGGAGGAGGAGGAGGAGGAGGAGGAGGAGGAGGAGGAGGAGGAGGAGGAGGAGGAGGAGGAGGAGGAGGAAGAGGACGAGGAAGAGGACGAGGAAGAGGAAGAGGGAGAAGAGAAAGAGGCATTGGAGCAGGAAGAGGAAGACGGGGAGGAAGAGGAGGAAGGGGAGGAAGGGGAGGAAGAGGAGGAGGAAGGGGAGGAAGAGGAGGAAGGGGAGGAAGGGGAGGAAGAGGAGGAGGAAGGGGAGGAAGAGGAGGAAGGGGAGGAAGGGGAGGAAGAGGAGGAGGAAGGGGAGGAAGAGGAGGAGGAAGGGGAGGAAGAGGAGGAGGAAGAGGAAGAAGAGGAGGAAGAGGAAGAGGAGGAAGAGGAGGAAGAGGAGGAAGAGGAGGAGGAAGAGGAGGAAGAAGAGGAGGAAGAAGAGGAGGAGGAAGAAGAGGAGGAGGAAGAGGATGAGGAGGATGAGGATGAGGAGGAGGAAGAGGAGGAAAATTTGTTGAGAGTGAGGGAGAGAGATGAAGGAGCGGCTGGTGATGAGACAGAGGGGGGGGCGCAGAGTGGAGCGGGGAAGGAAGAGAAGGATGGGGAAGCAGCACAGGAGCAACGGAGGCAGCAGCGGATTACAGAGGAGGTTGCGAGGCTGCGAGCAAGGGTGAGGGAGAGAGAGAGGCAGGTAGCGTCGGAGAGGGAGACGTTGAGGCAGAAGGAGGAGGAGCTGGAAAGGCAGCAAGCGAGAGGGAGGAATGCTGTTGCTGGGAAGGGCAGAGAGTGGAGGGGTGTGGTAGAGAGGGTGAGTGAGAACGAGGAAGACGGTCAGCTGGATGGTGAAGCGTGGAGGACACTGCAAGCTGGCGGTGAGAATTGGCAGGCCAGGAACAGTCTTGCAGCAGGCAAGAGTGGGAATGGAGTAGAGGCTGAGACAGGCCGGGTGAGAGGTTGTGGAGGGATGGTGGTGGTGAGCGAGGGGACGAGGGAGGGGACGAGGGATGGGGGAGGAGGAAAGGTGGTGGAGAGGAAGCAGTGGCTGCAGCGGGCCTCGTCCATCTTGCATAGCCTACGCTCTTCCCTCCACTCTGATCCCCGGGGCAGAAGGGCTACCCACCCGCTGCTACATGCTGCTGCACATGCTCCGCCTGCTGCTGGCTCTCCCTCACCTCCGCCTTCTTCTCCTGCTGCTGCTGTTGGGAGCAACACTACCAGTGCCTTGTGTCCTGCTCCTCCTGCTGCTGCTACTGCTGCTCCTGTATCTGCTGCTGCTGGATCGGGAACAAGAACTGGAAGCCTCTTCTTCTCTCGCACATGCTCTGCTGAATCCTCTGTCTCCATTTCGTCCTCCCTTGCCCCTCTCGCTGCCTCTCTCTCTGCTGTCTCCGCCTCCTCGCCGCTCTTCTCGCCCCCTCCCTCCTCCACCTGCTCCTCCTCTCATCCCTCCCCGTCCCCCAACCTATCATCTTTCTCACGTCTCAACTCTTCTGAGCGTCGGTCTGGAGGGAGGGGGGGGTCCTCTAGTGCTGCTGCTGCTGCTGCTCTTCCACACCCACAAGAATCTGCTTCAGGAGTAAATAGAGCATCCTTAGTATCCGTAGCAGCAGCAGAAGAAGCAGCAGCAGTAGCAACAGCAGCAGGGTCGCGTGGTGTTGGGGTGCGTGGGTTCCCACTCTTTGCCATCCCTGACATACATCTGGAGACAGCAGATGGTGAGGAGGGAGAAGGAGGAGGAGGCCATGAGCATGAGACCGATGAGTCAATTGTGGATTCTCTTGTGGGCTGGCCGGATCAGCAGCAGCAGCAGCAGCAGCAGCAGCAGCAGCAGCAGCGTCATGGGGAGGAGGAGATTGGCAAGCAGTCCGTGGCAGAGCAGGAGAGAGTAGGAATAGGAATGGAGGGAAGGGATGGTGAGCCTGTGAGGGGGGAGGGTAGAAGGTGGAGAGGGGTGATGAGTCCGTGGAAGCAACGAGGACGGGGAGGAAGTGGAGGAGGCGTGGGAGGGGGGGGCGGAAAGGAAGAGAACGGAAGGGGGGTGGTGCCTGTAGCTGTAGAGAGTAGCACTTCCAAGTTCACAGATGTGGACGAGGCACCATCTTCATCAGCAAGCAGGCGCCTACCGTCCTCCCTTCCTTCCGCCTTCTCGAGTTTCCACTTCCCTCGCTATCCCTCTCCGCGTCGTGTCTGGCCGGCTGCCTCCTCCGACCCTTCACCTGCTGCTGCTGCTAATACTGTGAGAGGTGGTGATGCCAAGATCTCAGCTGCGGCTGGAACGAGTGTCAGCAGCAGCAGCAGCAGCTTGCAGTCTGGTTCATTCATCTCTCATGGTAGTTTCCCCAGCAGTCGGAGCGGCAATGGCAGCAGCAGCAGCGGTGGCGGCGGCAGAAGCACCGCCTGGGTGGGCAGCGGTGGAGGTGGCGCGCGGAGCAAGGTGGTGGGCATGGGTGATTCCAGAGGTGAAGGTGGCTGTTCAAGGGGTGACGGATTTTCCACGGATGGTAGCAGCTCGTTTCCATCCTCATCGTTAGTGGCGCGAGGCTTGCTACGGCCTGCTTCCCCCATCCGAGCCCTGTTCCCACATGGCCTCTGGTCTGGTAGCCCTAGGCGCCAGAGAGCTGTGCCGGTAGCAGGAGGAGAAACGCAGCAGTAGCAGTGATCCGATCGCAGAAGCAGCATCCCTGCAAGGAAGAGGTTTCCAAGAAGGCTGTGACTTGGAAAGAGAGATGTGGCTGTGGCTGTGGCTGTGGCTGTGGCTGTAGCTGTGGCTGTGGCTGTGGCTGTGGCTGTGGCTTGTAATGACATGGAAAGTCTGGTTGTATGTAACACAACTCACTCCAGTTCGGTGTAAATGTCAGGGTGCCTGACAGTAACCGTGAGAGACTTCTCAAGGGTGTGATAATGCTGCTGGTGGTACGAGAGGTAGTAGCATAGCAGAAACGAGGAGTGGTGAATCAGAAGTCAGGATTCAGGAGTAGCTAATCTTTTGACTCTCAGCACTGTGGTGAATATGAGAAGGAAGCGCGGGGAGGAGGGTGGGGAGAAGCCTGAGAGTGGCTGCTTGCTTGTGTCGTTTGTGGTGGTGATTCCATAAAGACTTAGTATCAGTATCTTTAGTGTAGTGTTGTGTGCAAACGGCAGGAGGTTGTCACTGCATGGAAACTTTGGTTTGGCCGCTTCACACTGCCTTTCTTGGTTGTTTCATCTTGCTAACATGCTCATACCCATATGTCCATTGCAGTCATTCTGACCCCCTTTCCATTCCCATGCATACCATACAAGAGAAAGTTGACCAACTCACATCACAAGAATGATACACAGCTCTTGGCACCCTCCGGGGCAGTCAGTTAGACACGCAAAACAATCTGGGCAGAAGCTGATTGCAAGCTGGGCATGCTATCGAGCCTAACCAAGGCTGATTGAGGAACTCAAGCAGCTGAGTTCACACACGCCAATCTCCTTGAGCTCCTCATCAAGATCCCCAGGTGGATCTTCCCTCATCTCCTGCACCTCCGTGTCTACCTTGAGTGCTTCTCGTAGCTCCTCTCTCCCCGCCACCTCCTCCCTGACAGCCTGCAGCTGGGTGGCAATGTGCGCCATGCTTGGGCGGCTTGCAGTGCGCTCCACGGTGCAGCTCACTGCCAGCTCAGCCAGGCGCAGCACCGCATCATCAGGGGCGTCCATGGTTGGGTCCTTGAGGCTCGCTGAATTACCCGAGGCGAGGCACTCAGATGCCTGAGGGCGTGCAAATGGTGGGATAGGGTACAGGCTGGAGAAATCAGAAGGGAGAATAGTGCAGGACGAAGCGATGGGAGCAATCAAATAGGTTGCTACAGAAGCAACAGGAATGAAGTAATGGGGAGTGGATATCAGTCATGCGGACTTTTGAGACGTCTCAAGAATGGAGTAATGGGGAGTGGATATCAGTCATGCGGACTTTTGAGACATCTCAAGAATGGAGTAATGGGGAGTGGATATCAGTCATGCGGATCACAACACAACGCTGACCACTTGTGCAGGCTGGATTGAGAAAGCATTTTCCTATCCCAAAACGAGCTAGTCACCACTTGTGCAGGCTGTGAAGTTACACTAGTCTACAGGGCACTCGGCCATGGCATGGCATGGCATGGCATGGCATGGCATGCCACGTACCCACTGCAGGATGTGTTGGCCGTTGCCATCGCAGTCGGTGGGATCAGGGCGTCCGGAGAGCACCACAAGCATGAGCACACCAAAGCTGCAGAGAGGGACGGGTGTTGAGAGCAATCAGACAGCAGTGGTGACAAATCTTAACCACATACGCAGGCACGGTGAGGGTAAGTTTCGTCAATCACAAACTTGGAATGGTGTATTATTACTGTTAAGCCTCTCCATGGGGTTCCTAGCTCACCTGTAGACATCAGAAGCTGTGGTGGCCCTGTATGTCTTGATGTAAGCCGGATCCATATAGCCCGGTGTTCCCGCGTGTTGAGTTTTGCCCACTGTCGTGCCCTCTACCATCCTCGCAACCCCAAAGTCTGCAATTTTGGCCTGGTGGGTGCAGGACCAATGTAGCAAAGGCAAAAGCCATAGATGATTGGCAGGAATCAAACCACAAGTACGATGGTAGAAACCTGATCATTGGTCCGGACCAGGCTGGCCCAGACAGACCTGTTCAGAGGTAGAGAAAAAGTCTGCCCTGAGGCCTGCCTGCAAGGGCACGTTGGGCTGATTTCTGAAAACGGACTTGTATGCTGTACAAATATTCCTCTCCTTGGAGAGATTTTCTTCCTTCTCCATTACTATGGGTCTTATTTCCTCAAGGTGAGTCCTTGGTGCCTCAGTCGCCCTCCACCCCCCTCTTGTGCTTATACTTGAGCCCAGGTTCGATCGACTCAAACCGTCCAAAGTGCGACTCGAATCGAATCCCTCGAGTCAGTTTAATATCTTGAATAAAGCCGCGTCAAGCAGAACCGGTTCGACACCCTTTTCAATTTAAGTTGACATGAAATGCATGGGATCGGGTGAACTAAGTCAGATGAGTGAATTCAATACAGTCATGTGAACTCAACTTGTCACATGCCTACGTTTCAGCCGCCTTCTTTTGTGCCCTTAAACTGAAGTTGCTGCTTCCTCTTTCCCTCACAATACGTGCCCTCCATCCACTCCCAATACCACCTGTCCGGGTCCTTGCACTCAGACTTTCAACCCGACCCGGACTTCCTCGACCCGGACTTTCCTCGAACCGGACTTTCCTCGAACCGGACTTTCCTCGAACCGGACTTTCCTCGAACCAGACTTTCCTCGAACCGGACTTTCCTCGAACCGGACTTTCCTCGAACCGGACTTTCCTCGAACCGGACTTTCCTCGAACCGGACTTTCCTCGAACCGGACTTTCCTCGAACCGGACTTTCCTCGAACCGGACTTTCCTCGAACCGGACTTTCCTCGAACCGAGTTGGGTTTGGGCCGGATCAAGTCGACCCGTAATCGGCGGGAGCCCAGGCCTGCCCCCGACCCAACCCGGACCTATGGGTGTCGGCTCGGCTGTGCACTGAGGGCGGGTCGGTTTGACCCGACCCAAACTTGGGTCGACCAACCCGCTGTCTTATTGGATCGATCGACCACATCGACCGTAGCCGTTTGACCTCTGGTCTGCGCCGCAGATTGGTAATTTCAACCACCGATCTGCGTGGATCGATGCATCTTGGCCGTCGATATGAGAGGATGCACATTTTCGTTTGTCGATCGGCTCAGCGTGGCGTGGCAAATTCCAACCGTTGATCCACGCCAGTCGACATATTTTAACCGTTGATCCGCACGAATGATTGCCTACTTACTACAGTCCTGTCCGTCAGGCAGGAGTCTGCCTGCCTGCCATATTCTGGCAGGCCGCAGGTTGACATCTTAAAAAGCTGGCCGAGTCAGGCCGGATCGTCACAGCCCAACCGGACCGGACCGGCCTGGGTCTGCCTTGTGCTCATGCCTTGGTCTCAAATCAACCAAGTAGCTCAACTATCGACTATCACATGTCCGCTCTGGCATGTCCGCACTGGCATGCCCGCACTGTCCTCGCTGTTACAATGTGGCGTGTGTTTGACGAGAGCTTGCCTGCATGTCATCTCCAATGAGGATGTTGGCGGGCTTGATGTCGCGGTGTACAATCTTGAAGCTGTGGAGATACTCCAGGCCACGTGCAACGCCAATGAGAATGTCCAGTCGCTGCTGAAGGCTCAAGGGTTGTGATGCTTCTGCGGGGGGGTGGGGGTAGGCCGGGGGGGAGGGAGAGGGGAAGGTGGGGGAGGAACAAGAAGAAGAAAACAGCTGGGGTTACAACAAGTCATGGAGCACATGCAGTGAGGAACCTAACAACCTAGAGGCCCATCCTTTGCAGCAACGGTCTGAACAGACGGGGTGCGCCACGAGCCGAGGTGGGCTCGTCCCTTTCCCCATCTGAGCCGAGCCAGCTTAGAGCAAGGCAACCAGGACAGAAGAACCCACCAGTTTTGGCATGGCACTTCCATGCGACTTGCACCACTGACATTGACTTGAAGGGGCTCACAGGGCTAGCCTTAAAACCGGAGTCCCAAACAGCCCGAAACTGCCTCAACCTTCCTAGCTTTGGTTGGGTGTGACCCAGTTGATACCGAGCTCTCCTCGCAAATTGTTGGGACGATTTTCGCGAAGCGAAATTACTGTTCAAGCGAGGACGATAGCGGTGACAACTTCGCAAACACATTTGCAGCCCGTCCGAAACAGTCAGCGAACGAGTTCTGACGTAGCATTCCAGATCTGGTTACACTCGCGACTTTTTCATACTTAGCGACCCGCTACCACCGATTTCGACACCACCCTGGCTCGCGAGCCAGTCACCTTTCTCTCCCCTTTCAACCTTCCTAACTTAGAAACTCTTGGACCTCCGGTTTTAAGCGGCCCTGCTTGCAAGCTGACAGGGGCTTGCCTGTGAATAATACGAACTTGTAGAATACTAAGCTTGATGTAAGCGAGGGGATGAAGCTTAACTCAATGGATGGATCTCAGAGATAGGTGATTAACCAGCAGAGAATGTTCTGAATCAAGATATTTGTAGCTTCTGGGTGCTATGTTGACAACTAAGGATAAAATTCAGAAGGACTCAGATTTGGAAAAAAGAAAAGACGACAGGAGGTTTTTCGTTTTGGGCCCAAATGTGAGTGCTTGTTCCGAAAGTCGTGGTTTTAGTTCACCTATCTCGGCATGGGCACGGCACACAGAAATTCCACGCAGCGACTCGCGGCCGACTCGCAACCGACTTGCTGAAACGGAGAACGAATACTGCAGCTCAGTTGGGTATGTTTCCAATCTGAACCGCGCAATAGGGAGGAAGAACACCCATGAATGAACCCCGCTGTTGTGGGACAAACTTTTGACCCACCCACATACTTTGATCTCTCCACTTGTGGAGGTCACCGTTGGGCACAAACTCGTAGATCAGCACTTGCTCTGGCCGCGTCCTCATGTCCCCTCCGACAGCAAACCCAAGCAGCCGCACAATGTGGGGATGGTTCTTATCGGCCATTTGCTGCACCTGAAAGCAGAAGAGAAGGGCAATGAAGAAAGGCCAAAGAGGGCACACATGGCTGGCTCAGCTTCTCCCTGAGTTAGTAGCAGGATTCCAAACAAAGTAGTAGTAGTGGGTCCTCCACAAAGAGAGGCTATGCTACACACACACACGCACGCAGAGCAGCCTGGTTCCAAAATCCAAACAGCATGAAAGAGGAATCACACTCAAACCACTAGGTCCTCTTTCGAGGATCATACCGACCATGTTGTCCAGTGCAGTGCAGCTCACTCACCTCCTTCTGAAATTCCGCGCCAATGACCTTGGCACGCTTGACTGCCCAGGGTGTGGTGCCATTGCGGGGAGAGACGCCCTTGTAGACTTCACCAAAGGCACCCGAGCCAAGCAGGTTGTCGTCGGACCAGTTGTTGGTGGCCTGCAGCACCTCCTTTAGCGAGAACTCCGTGCAATGCGCCACTGCCCGGCTGGCCCCTGGGCATGGCGGTGGGGTGGGGGGCGAAGAGTGAGGAGGTTTAGAGCGAGCCCTCGCCTTGTCTTGCCTTGTTGTTATCGAGCACACGCATACAAAATGAGTAGACATGAAGATGAACCATCTTAACAAGGAACGTTGAGAAGGTGTGGAGGTGGGAGCTGAGCTGAACACATCGAGAACCATTCCTGCTTCTCCTACATTTAGAGCTTTGCCGCTTCTGGTGCCTGAAGCAGAGCAACATGGCAGCCAGAAGCAGGAGGAGAACAACCATAGCAGCAACAGCAATGCCGATGATGCCTCCCACTGATACACCCCCTCCACCTGCTGGTGCTGCTGGTGCTGCTGGTGCTGCTGCTGGTGCTGCTGCTGCTGCATGAGCACAACAAAAGCATGTCAGCTGAGCAAAGAGATTCGATGTAATCTGAGCAAAGAGAATGAACTGCCATTCACAAGAGCACAAGCATGGCAGAAGTGGGGGTGATTCAAGTAAACTAGGCACCGCTTCATGAACCCCACTAACCTGTTTCTTGCTGGCATGCAAAACAGGTGGTGCCACAATCTTGGCAGAAGGCCGCCTTTGGCGATAAGGTTTGGGCGCAGGTGGTGCTGTCAGCAGCAGGACAAGTGAGGCTGGTGCCAGATGTGTTGCTGCAGTGGAAGTGGGCAGATTGGCACAGGAGAGAATATGCTTGGGGCAACTTGTGTGCGGATGGTTGCATGCACAAGTCAGGAAATCGATTTATATAGCTGTCAACTAGGCATGGCTAAACCGAACCTTGGTTCAGTTTAGGCAAACCGGTTCGTGTGGAACCAAAGGAGAGTTATGTTTTCATCTTTTTTGGTTTGACAAGATCCTGTTAGGCCAATTTGACCAGTTCGATCTCTGCTCGGAGGGGCAACTTGAGTGCAAGTTCAAATTCAGGTAAGAAACGGGGATTGGAGCTCATTTTCAAGCTTTAAATCCTTCTTAGCTATCTCCTCGTCACTAAACAGGGCCATCGTCCGTCAAAGTGGACGTCCGGACCAAGCCTCGTTCACACCACAAGTGGATGTCCTGTGAGTTTAAATACCACATTGATTTGCGGAGGTTGAGTTACAAGAAAACAACATCAACATTTCACAGATGCCCAAAACTTTATGCGTCATCCCAACAGCCATCGTGTTCGACAGCCCGGTTTTATTTGTTTTCTTTAGTCGTGACGACTTTGCGATTTTCCAATTTCGTCATGCGCCAACTTTTGGCTATTAAGTCATGGATGGAGCAGAACACGCGCGGCAGGAGCCTCCTCGCAGCAGGGGCCGCACACACGCTGGAGGAGTTGTGCTATGAGGCCGATGACGATGGGTTTTGAGATCTGGACCCGAGACTAGACACCTTCTAGTAATGTTGGCGCCGGCATCAGCAATGAGAAATCAGTGGGAAACTCCTCGAATGCGGCGATAGTGTAAGAATCCGATTCCACTCATCCCAATACTGCGAATATTCCAAGGAGGAAGTAAAAGGGAAGCTTGTGGAGTGTCGCTCATGTAACCACACTATCAGTCATAGCCATGGTCGTTGCACTATGCATTTCACCAAGTGGCCAAACTAAGGATGCCACGAAGTGCGAATTTGTCCGACCGATCTCAAGGAGGTGGAGAGAGCTACTCGTGAAGCAGCAAGTACGAAGAATTCTGTGTTGGTGTTAGCCCTCAATCTCACATTTTGTACTTGTACTTTTATATCCTAGTTTAGTGTAGTTTGCACTTTGTGTTTGGTTGGGTGTACACCCACATCCCAACCAAACCCAAATGTAATCTCCAACCAATCTCCAACCCTCCAATTGGAGATTGCTTTGGGATTACCCTTGATTCCCTAGGATTGCCCCCTGATTCTCTCCTCATCCCAACCTTGCTCATTCCTGATGTACTTAAAGAGCTTTGAGCTCACTACTATTGTATCGCTTCTAAGCCTAAGTTCTATGATGGTATCAGAGCCTTCAAACCGCACACGCGGATCGTGATCCTCTTATCTCTGCAGATGTTCGTCCCGCAAACCTCGGCGTAACCGCCTTCAATCTCGTCGCTGTTGATTCGCGATATTCGTGGGCGGAAATTCTTCCGCACCACTTTCCCGTCACTCTCGACGGCATCTACTATCTCACTGGTAAGCGCATCGTCAGCGCTTTAACCTATCACTCGTTTTCGTCGAACATCATCGCGTCATTCCTTCTCCTCGTCGGGCCGCCGCCCGTCGCCCTGCAGCTTCACCCTCGGGCTGACGCCCGTCGCCCTACAGCTTCACCCTCGGGCTGACGCCCGTCGCTCCGCATCTGCACTCCTACCCCCATCCCCCCCCCTTTTCCCGCAGCTGAACAGGTGCAGCAGCGCAGCCGAGCAGCAGCGCAGCCAAGCAGCAGCGCAGCCGCGAAGCCGAGCAGCCGTGTAGCCGCGAAGCCGAGCAGCAGCGCAGCCGCGAAGCCGAGCAACCGTGTAGCCGCGAAGCTGAGCAGTAGCGCAGCCGAGAAGCCGAGGGTGGTGTGTGGGGGGGTGTGTGGGAATAGGATTAGTAGGTAGTTGACACTAAATTGGCGTTTCAATCGAATTCTCCTTCAGAAACCCTAAACCTCAAAATTCTCTTTCGTAAACCCTAAACCTCCGGTTCTTCAAAATCTCCTTCGGAAACCCCAAACCTCAAGTTCCTATCTTGACTCAAGAGCGGCGCTCCGCGCGACACCCTAAGGGATCTCCATCATGGCATTCGCCTCGTCCACCATGGCCAACCCCATCACCCCACTCCGTCTTGATGCCGATGGCTCTAGCCCCAACTTCAAGGCATGGAGCTATGGGGTTGACAAGCACTTGCTGAGCCGTGTCGTGCAAGGATTGGACCTCAAGGATGTCCTCCTTAATCGTGGCAAGGGGAAACAGCCCGTTCTCCCTCGCGAGCCGACCGAATCCGCCAGTGAGGCTGACACAAAAGCATATGAGGAAGTCGTTGAGAAGTACCGGAAGTGGGAGAAGGCCGATGCTGCAATTATCAGCATCTTCATCGCCTCCACCCTTCCAGAACTTGTCAACACGTTCCATAACTACCCTACCGCCAATGCCATCTGGAAGTATCTCTAGGATCTGTTCATGAACAAGACTGCAGTCGGAGTTGCCATCCTCATCCCCAGCATGTTCCAGGTCCGCCTTGAGGATTGCTCGGGAATGGCCGACTACATTGCCAAGGTTCA